AGTTTAGGTCGATTTTGTAGAATTTCGTGGCCCCGTTAATTTCGCTGAGTTGTTGTTCCACGGTTGATATAGGATGGCGTATGCGTTTCACCGCTTTGTTTGCTATGCGGAGGTCTGCGCATATCCTGATATCTCCATCTGGTTTTGGAGCAGTCACCAATGGGGACACCCATGGTGTAGGGCCTTCCACGCTCTCGATGATATCATTATCTAACATTTCTTGTATCTTCTGTTCAACGGCAACCTCGAATGTGAAATGGTCCTCTCCGAGGTGACTGTGCGACGGGTTTGACATTTGGGTCGATGTCGAGCTTGAGTTGGAAGTTTCTCATTCTCCCCAGTCCATTCAGCGCTGGTAGATGTAGTTCCAGTATCCTCCGGGTTGATGAAGGCATCTCACTGGTCGTAATCCGGTTATTCTGGTGGATACTGAGAAGGCCAAGATCCAAGCTGGCTCGCTTGCTCAGAATATTCCCTCCCTGTTTTGCTGTTGTTACCAGGATTTTGTGTGCGACTCCCTTCGATCCATTTGTCAGTGTTGCAAAGAACTCTCCTCGGAGGGGGATGGGAATGTTTCCATACGCTTTAGGTTGGATATTCGTTTCCTTGAGTACTATGTTCGGTCGTATTTTGATGATGTGGTCGAATGTGCTCTCGTCAATTAGATTGACGTTTGCCCCTGAGTCAATCAACATTCCGACTGGTACGTCTTCTACTGTATCATCACCTTTTCCTCTGCAGTGTCGTCTGATGTCACTCTGAACACATAGGTATGGCCATCGTCAGATTCTTTTGTGCTCTTGGACGACACCTGGTGTACGTGATTGTCGTCGTTACCCGTCGAACTGTCCTCCGTCAGTTGTCTGACCATCTCTTGTCGGTTATGTTTTTTTCTGCACGCGGTGGCAAAGTGGTTGACGATTACACAGTAATTGCAATTTTTTCCAAATGCAGGACATTGTCTCTGTCCATGTCGATGGCCAGTGCCATTACACCCGAGACAGTTCAGTTTTGGGTCGCGTGGCATATCCTTACTTTGTTGTCTTCGATTGCTTTCCCAGTCCCGCTGCTGTTGTTGTTTGTATCTTGTGTTTACCTTGTCCACATTGGTGCCTTCTTCACCTTGCTCCATCTGGCTAGCTTGCGCTTCAGTTGATTCATAAGTGTAAGCGATTTGTAGAGCTTTCTGTACTGTTGTCTGTCTCCTTCACGTATGCACGACGCATTTTATGTGAAGTAAATTTCTCCGTCAACTGGTCGATGCACTTGGTCCTTTGTGTACATACGCGGGTTACGTAATTGTGTGTACTTTCCCCGACCTCCTGCGCCAGCATCCGGTACTTGTGTCGTTCAAATACTTCGTTTGTTTTCTCACTGAAGTATTCATCAAATGCTATTCTCATTGTTTTGTACGTTGGCTCTGTTTGGTCTGTAGGTATCGCTGGACGCAATGTCTTCATGATTTCCTTCAGTTTCTTTCCTCCATTGAATCTGATGAGTGCTAGTCTTTTGGCATCTTCAGTTATGTTGAATGCAATGAAGGCATCTTCAGCATGCTCTATCCAGTCAGTCCATGCTTGTGTTTGGTCAGTCTCCTCTAGCTCTAGAGGTTGTAGTGTTGGTATAGCAGTGGCCATGTTGTGAATAGATGTATGTTCTTCATCCTCGTCGCCAATTTACTGTATGCACCGTCGGTCAGTAATATACTGTTTGATTTTGTTGAAGTTTATTGTTTAAATACAGAAGGCACCAATACCTGAAATGTACAGAACAGGAATTATCGCAGATAGGCTACACCATCTCACACATATACTAGTACACACACTCCAATGACTATATATTGGAACAGTACACTAACCAAACATAAGCTAGCCAACCCTAACCTAACTTAATCTAACCAAACACTAGTAAATATTAAAAAAATAGTTTGTTATACGTAAACTAATATTGTATTGTTTGTATCTGCTACCGAATTGTATTAGGGAGAAGATAATGTTATCCAGTGAGTTAGTGATTAATGGGCCGAGGGTGAAACCTTATGGGTAAGGGGAGAGTGAAGTAAGAGGTGGAGGAAGGTGAGGGGATAATGAGGTAAGAGGTGGTGGAAGGTGAGGGGAGAGTGAGTTAAGAGGTGGTGGAAGGTGAAGGGAGAGTGAGGTAAGAGGTGAAGGAAGGTGAGGGGAGACTGAGGTAAGAGGTGGAGGAAGGTGTGGGGAGAATGAGGTAAGTGTAGTG